TTGAAACTGTCCTACCAATTTGGTTTGAAACTGTCTCATTGCTATTTGTTCCTCAATAAAATTATGAAAAAAGAAAATAAAGAAAGTCATGTACTCTCCGGCATGCCTCCCACCAAGGGAGTTTGGGCAGCTCTGACAGACCAGAATAACAGACAGGGCACGGTGCTGTGGACCTGAGACAAATGTCCACGGCCCCTTCCTGCCTCTTGCAGTATTTGCTCTTGGAAACAGCCACCCTGCTGCACAGAGGCCCAAGTTCATGAAGGGTCCACAGGGAGCGGCCATGACTCCTCAGTCTGCTCTCCAGTGACAGTGCCACCTGGCCCATGCATGTGTAGCCCTCTTGGGCAAAACCCTGAGCCCAGCTGCACTGCTCCAACTGACATGGAACAAAGACAAAACACTCCCACGAGGCCTGACTGAACTTCGGATCACAAGCAAAATCAATGACTGCTGCCACCTGATGCCACTAAGGTTTAAGTTCATTTGTAATGCCAACAGAAAAAAAAAGGTACCACGGGGAAAAATAAACAGCATCATGGAAACATAATCCTCCCTGACCCACACACTCAATAGAATCTATTTAAAAACATCTGTATCTCAGCACCAATGCTTGACACTAGCACTGTCAGGAACTAGGTTCAGAGCCGGCCAAATGTTTCATGTCACCGGTGCAAGAGTGCCATCTTGTGTTGGAAAGATTAATTGCAATATTTGTTGTATAAATGCAAAAGATTTTTTTCTTCAAACACAGATTTCACAATGCAGCTTCCAAGAGTGCACTGGGGTAATACCCACAATCCTCCCCCAACTCACCTGTAAATTTTCATCTTTGAAACAGTAATCATGATTGACAGCTGGGAGAATCTGCCCAACACACAGAGCCCATCTAACCAGAACCATTACTCCTTAAAGCAAGAGGGCCAGCCAGCATGGAAGATGAAAGAAGGTTAGCACCTGTCGATGGGCTTCACTATGGGGACCTGGGAGGGTGTGGTGGCCAGTGTGAAGGCTCGAGGGGCTCATACCCATGAGGGGACGGCTTCGTCCACTGCAGCTGCTTTGGGGGCTGAAAACCTGGGTCCACTATAAGCAGCCCTCCTCGGCCCTCAAGAGTCAGCAATGTCTTCGTGTGTGCAACGTGTGTGCAATTCCCCTAAATGTACAACTTTCGGAGACAGTTCAATAGTAAAACTCCACTAAAGAGCACACAGCTGAGACTGAATTCAGCCCGCTGGCCTGAAGTGTTCGCATTCAGGATAAAGGACCCAGGATCTTGTTAGGAGAAGAGAAGAGAAAGCAAGGCAGCACGTGGGCTTCACGCTGTTTTTTTGCCATCCTTTTGAGACTTATGCTGAATTCTCTCAGGCCTCCCGAGCAAGACGGGGCTAAGACTGCACCTGTCTGCCTTCAAGGAGCTAGAAGATGAAAAGTAGGAACTGGGAAAGGTGACTCTTAAAAGAATATAGTATTGGGGGCTGGGGAGATGGCTCAGTGGAATAAGCGCTTCCCTGGCAAGCTCAAGGGCCTGAGTTCAATCCCTGGTTCTGCCAAAAAAAAAAAATAGTATTAACCCATTATATATATACATATAAATGTATTAGTGTAAGTCATATATATGACTATATATAATATACATAGTATATATAATTGGAGTATAATGTGTATAGAAATCCTAATTATGTAACTCAAAATGTTAAACCTTTTTTATTCCATATTATGTTACTTCTCATTATATATCATTTCATTTACATAATAAAATTACTTGTATTTTTTCCAGTCACGTACCCACAGTGATCTCTGAGCTACCAAATAACTGATGCATGATCTATAAATTTCCTCAACCCTAAGAAAAGTGCAAGTAGAAAGATTTTTGAAAAGTATTAGTACATGAGAGACAGTGGTATGTGCGCTAAGATGGACAGAGGTCACTACCACCATTTCTCACTCCACGTCACTGATTTTCTGGTCACTGCAACTTCTGACAAGAATGTCCTTGCATTTTCCAAACACCGGGACTACAACTGACCACTAAATTAAGTTAAATCAGTTACCACAAGAGCGTCTCATCGCGAACTGCTGGTTGAAAGATGCCACGGGAACCTCGTGAACACGCTGAGCACCGCGGAGCGGCACACTGTGAGCGTTAACGACAACAGTGAGGCGTACTGAAGGCCTTGACACAGCAACGTGTTTAGACAGGCAAACCCAGACACGGTGAAGGGATTATTACAAGCAAGCTGATTAACCTGCCCATCACCTCACACATGTACAGCAACTCTTCAGTTCTTCTATTTAGGACACTTCATAACAGCACGAGTCAAAAAGTAAGTGAAAGGAAAAGTGTGTTCCTCATCTCATTCCCAGGGACAGGCAGAAATGGCGAACACCATTTCCTGACACTGCTATACATTAATGGTTTCTTCTATCTCTATGCAGGAATACATTTTTTAAAATGAAAATCTGATGAGGTCCTGGACACTGTTTTGCAACCCGTTGCTGCACCTAATAGAATACAGTACTTCTTCATCTCAACTGCAAAGAGGAAGGGAACTGCAAGGTGCAGAGAGGGGACAAGACACCCTAAGATGTGCTCTGCACATGCACCAGCTCCATGGGGACCGTGACCCTTACAAGCTGCAATATGGACAGATAAAAAAAATAAAAAATGAAAAAACTAAGAACAAAAGGGTAAATTATATTTCAAATTTTAAAAGAAAGATGCCATCAAAGGCAAACCTAAAGAAAGTATGTCACTTCATTCTTGGCAGTTCGGAGACTGCACCCTGGTCCGGGGCACACCAGGCAAGGGCTGCATCTGGCACAAAGCCCCAGCCCATGCGGCAGCTACCCCACAGCCCACTCCAAGCTCGCGCCAGAACAGTCTCCTACATGGGAAGTTTACGCAAGGGAAGAGCGCAAGGCCAGGTCCGGACAGCCTGAGATTCCACCAGTGGCCCTGTCGTGGTGCTCAGGGTGTGGGAAACAAGACCAAGCCGAGGATAGCTCCCAGCCAGGTGTGCACTTCCATACTCGGTTCTGGCTGATTTTTCTCCAAATGCTGCATACACAGAACTGTGACTACACTAGCTGCTCCACCTCCACAACCACAGGAGCTCCTGGAGGACACGGAGCTGACACACAGAAGCTACTCGGGAAAGATCTGAGTGAACAAAACGACAACTCGGACACTGCCATGAACACGGCAGGCACCTGAATTCAAGAAGAAAACTGAGTCTGATTTCATACGAACTGCAGGAGCCTCCACTATATTCCTCCTGTTTTCTCAGCGAGTAAGGATTAGTGACGGCTCAAGATTTAAGAAACAGTTCTGTTGTAACGGAAGATGCCCAGGCTCCAGCCAGTAAACTTCAGTCCCTTCAGTTCCTGTTCCAGGTGCTCCTCGCAGAAACTGCTGGTCCCGGCGGCGAGGCACGCTGTATAACCCAGCCCCCAACCCCAAGCCACTGTGCCCCCTACTGCCTGCCTGCTTCTCCCACATAAGCCCTCGACCTCCGGGAGCAGGCCTGGTACTCCGGGAGTGACGGCGATCAGTGCTCCTCGATGTAAATCCATCAATCTGCCGCCGCATCCTGGATGCTGTTCTGGTGTTTCTGCTTGCCACAGCACTATTAACATGAGTGCTGATAAAAGCGTGTGAAGTACGGAAATAAGAAGGAACTTACGAGAATCTGAGAAGGGGGTCCAGTCCACGACCTGGGAATTCATTGAGAATCTCCATGGCGGTCACGCAACCTACAGTTGGAATTCCTTCAGTGTAATCACTGCCGAGCAAGTAGGCCAAGTTTATCAATTTGTTCCGGTCCAGTCCTATAAGAGTAACCATTATTGTGAATGCTTACTTGATGAAGAGTTTTATACAGCATTCATAAACACTTTATTGTATACACTACGTGTTTATACATCCTCACCCAATAGCTAAGGATAGCTCTTTTCTGATTCAAAAATAAATTATTTTTAAGTGGCAGCCAGTATCATCCATGTCACAGCTTTGGATTCCCTCTACATCCTGACCTCAGGCATCAGCCCTGCAGCCTGGACTTCTCTACACCACGGTCACGTACATGCAGCAGTCACCTCTACGCCTAAGAGGGCTCCAGCCCCACATTAACACCTGAGCGCCTCCTCTCTTGCTGCTCCGCTCGCTTGGTGGCGGCACCATCCTCAGTCTCCCTGTTTCAGCACTGAGGGCTGGGCCACCTGGCCAGCTACTCAGAAGCCAGCTCCTCCTCACCTCCAGCCTCTGCGGCCCGTGCCCACCCACCCTCCTCCTTTCTCCAGCAGGCCTCACCTTGACGTTAGTCCCACCTCACTCTCCGAGGTTAACTTCCCTCCTCGTCCTCCCTCGCCCCCTGGCCTCATTTCCCTGGGATACCACACAAGCTTCTGCCTGGGGCAACGCGCTCTCCCCCAGCCAGCCTCTGACTAAAATTCTGGCGTCCTACTGCCTAAAGCTCCTGCACTAAGGTTACCTCTGAAGAAAGCCCTCCTGGGAAAGGCACACACGTTCCCGGCTACGGCTCACTCCTCTCCTTCCTGCTTACTGTTCTATAGGATGCACATGCCACCTGTCACATGATGACTAATGTATCCATTTAATCTGCTTCTCTTGCTGGACCGCCTCATCCTGAGCTGTTTTCCCGCTGTCAGGCATAACTGGCACATAGGAGTCACTCACACACTGCTGGATGAATGGAAGAATGGATGAACCACGCCAGGAACACCAACGCAGGCCTGTGACAGGCTGGATGTCACCCGCTTTTTCTCCCCCACACCTGGTCTGCTCAGAAGACCTGGGTAACTGGTCATCTAACCAGATCAGATGATCAAACCACAGAAAAAGCCCAAAGGTGCTCATATTTTAATTTAAGTCTAATTTCTAAATCCTGTTCCTCTACAAGAGCAATTATTTGAAAACGTATATAGATCTGCCATTTCCATTAATGTACCAAATTAGTTCCCAGGAAGAAAAAAATTCACATGGCAAATTGCAAAGGTACATTTTAGAAAGTTGCCATAGAAGTCTTACCTAATTGGTTGTAGAAGTCCACATACTGGTAATATTCTACAAATTTGTTTTTATTAAAAAAGTTCTTGTAGACATGCCGCGCGCCGAACAACCAGATATCACTATCATCGGTGATGGTTCCAGAAGTCTGATCAGTGAGGTCCAGGATGGCGCACTGGGCCTCTGCCTCCATGGGCGCCTGGACGTAGGGGATGCCGAACAGGCGCAGAAGCTCCTGTGGGTACCAATACACCGTGACCCTGGGGAAAGGCAGTCCAGCCCTGGCCCAACAGGGCCAGCTTCAGCGCTCGTGCTGTGCACTCCCGGGGAGCCCCAGACAGGCCAGCCCCCGCACCCACCTGGCTTTCCAAGAACATCTGTCCTGTGACAGTGGACGCGATCCGTTCTTGCTGTTGTTTTTGTGCATTCAGTGAATTCTGCTGCACTAAAAGGTCATTCTCCAGGGCTTCCAGCTCCTCCTAGAACATGATTTTTTGCTTTATAAGTATGTGAACCCAACTGGGTTCCCTGGAGCCTACCTTCTGTCTGGCCTTTCCTCTTAGGAACTGTTCCACGTGATTTCCCAACACATCTCTGCCACTGCCCCGAGTCCCCTCACTAGCTCACAGGGAAAGTGGCCTTTGACCCAGGCAGCAGGCTTCATGATAAAGGAGCCTTCAGCAGGAGGGAGTGTGCTGTGACAAGCTAGCACCCAAGCAACTGAAGCTCCACAGTGGCTTGCTTGGCTTTTCTATCAGTGAAGGTAAAACACCATGTTATGTTATTACCAAATTAATATCTTGCCATTCATTCAATGAATCCTCTGCCTCTTTTTCAGCTTCCTCAGGAGGCTCTGTGTCTGTGTCCTCGCTTCCCGAGACGTCCTGCAGAGGGCGCTGGCACACGCCAGTGGGTTCTTCCTCCATGGCTGCTCCTGGGTGCTCTTGGTGCGGTTCCGAAAGAAGTTTGGAAGCGTTGCTGGAGTCAGCCTCGAGGTCACGGTCACTGCTCACACTCTGCACTTCAATGAAACTCCCTGCATGGAGACAGTGAGGTTACGTCCCGACAGCTGACACGGGTTATCCTGAAATCCTACAGAACGTTCTGAAGCATCTTGGAAAACGGTGCACACCAAAAGAAAACATGGAAATGACATGCTACTAGTAAACAAATTTCCTGGCAAGTGCCATAACTTCAAGAAGCCTTTTCAACTAGCTAACAACCACTGAAAATGGAACCCAAATGCTCAAAGACTGCGACATCAGCTTTATACAAATCTGTTTTAACTAATACTGTTTTAAGAGTTCAAAAAAGAGAATTATCAAAGCATTAAGACAGAGGCAATCATAAAGGTTGGTCAGTGTGTTTTAATGCTATTTCAGTATAAGCAGAGAAAAGAATAAAACTGAAAGAATCCACCTAAGTACTCAGGAAAAACAGCTCTTCCTTTTGTACTTACTTTCCTTCCTCTCGTTTTTGTTTTTTTTTTGTTTTTTTTTTTCACCCAATTTTATGTATTTGGTACAGGGTCTCGCTACACAGCTCAGACTCAGTGATCCTCCTGTTTTGGCCTCCTAAGCACTGCGATTACAGGAGTGTGCCACCATGCCCGGTTTCGGTGGCCAGCTCAGCATGCCCAGGGAACAGACGGCACGGCATGCGGCATCAGGGACTGAACCTGGGGCCTTGCGCTTGCCGAGTAGGCATCTACACCGCTGAGCTATCTCCCCAGCCCCTTCTTGTCCCTTTCTTTCAAAAATGTGTATTGGTTCCTTTCCTTCCCTTCACAGAAGGCAGAAGTAAGGCCCATCTGCTGGATTTGAGGAGACAATTAGAACAGAGGAAGGGGCTAGGGCTAAGGAAGAGATGGAGAGTTTAGACACAAAGAAGCCCAAAAGTAAATAGATGAAGAACAGGGAAAAGGCCTCCCACTATTAGGAAAAATGTAAAAAGCTGGAGCAGGCTAGAACCCTTGGACCTTAGACTAAATCACAGGTATCAACATGAACTCACAGATCTTAATAGAAACAGACACAGAAACAGACACAAATATGCGTGCTGGCTGTGTGCGTACATGTGTGTAGCAGGGCTGCCTGACTCACAGTGAGCACGCCCAACACGCAGCTCAGGGCTGCAGAACAGCCTGCTCCACTGAAAGAACCCGGCTGCCTGTGGACACTCTGGGGCCAGGCATAGGCCAAGGAAGAGTATGGTGAAGCCAGGGCGCCCTGGCTGTAGGTCAGGGAGAGGCTCCAGTGACATCAGAAGCCACAGGAACCTGCTTGGGGGGACCCCACCAGCCACACTCAGAGGAGAGCAGCAAAGGCAGTCACAACACTGTCCAAGGTAGCTCCCTGAATAAAACAGGAGTCTAAAGGAAGGAAAGGTCTAGCAGGAGGATGCCGATGAGCAAGTATCTCAGGAATGAGGAGCTACAAGACCACCACTAGACAACCATCCTAACAGCAATTAATCCAGGCAAAAATCATCAATGGAATAAAAAAAAAATGGGGGTGGAGGCTGTGCTGCATGATTTACATCACCCCAAATTTCTTTCCACAAATATGCAAAA